AATCATAACGGCCTGTTCTTTGAAATTCCATAATCTCATTACATATCTTCTCAAGATATTCCTTTTTGGCCCTGTCCGTGGCTCTTTTCAATTCATTCCTCAGTCTCCTGTATTTCCTCCTGCCTTCTTCATTGTTGACATTCTTCCATTTCCTTCGCTCCTCCATTTTACTCATCATCTCCTGTGTAACCCATGGTTTTCTTGCTATCTTCTCAACTTTACCTACCAAATCACTGATAGTATCTAACATGCATTCTTTTATATCGTTCCACTGCGCTTCAGCATTTCCGCTTTCACCTTCAATTGCACCGAGTTTCTCTTCTAGAGTCTCTTGCACGCTTTGTCTTTGAGCATATAACTTCTCCAAATCCCATCTGGGTCTGCGCTTTCGAAATCCTATAATTTTCTTCAACCTGGTTCGGAACTTGGCAACCAGCAAGTTGTGGTCAGAGTCAATGTCTGCCCCAGGAAGCGTCTTCACATCCTTCACACTGTTTCTGAATCGATGTTTCACAAGGATGTAGTCCAGCTGATGCCTCTTCCAATCCCCAGGTGCCTTCCATGTGTAAATTCTTCTCTTTGGCTTCTTGAACCAAGTGTTGGTAACAATCAATCCATTTCGTTCACAAAAGTCAATAAGCATTTGACCTCTGTGATTCCGTCTTCCTAGTCCATGTGATCCAACAATATTCTGATATGGTTCATCTCCAACAATGCTGTTCCAGTCTCCCAATATGATGCTGTTTGTGTCTCCTCTTCCATCTTCCTGAAGAATTTCTTCAATTGTGTCATACACTTTTTCCACTTCATCATCTTCATACTCTGATGTTGGCATGTACACTTGTATAATCAGTATATCTACCGGTTCCGCCTTTAACTTCAGAGCAATAATTCTGTCATTACAAGCAATCTTCTTAACAACACTCCTCACTACACTTTTATGCACCACTATTGCCACACCTCTTTCAGCCCGTTCACCTCCGGAATAATACACTGTATAATCACCGCTTCTTATTTCACCTTGTCCTTTCCACCGCACTTCGCTGACACCTAGCACAGACACTTCATTCTTCTGCATTTCCGTTTTCAAATTCTCCAATTTTCCTGCTTGATTCAAGGTCCTGACATTCCATGTTCCAATCTTGTATCCATGCTGTTTCTTCTGATCTTCGCACTTTTTCTTGTTGTAACGCCTGCATGACATTTCCTCTAGAAACACTCCCCCCCGGAGATCCGATTGGGGGAGTAGTTTACCTCCGGATTGTTTTGCCTCCAGAGGAAACATCTCGCATATATGGTATCTCTGTTTTTGGAAAGAGACTATCCAGGAAAAGTGATAATGTGGTAGTTTTTCCATTTGCTTTCCACATCGCAGTACAGCAGCCGTTCAAACCACTCTGGTCACGCCTGCTGCTATACGAACTTGAACCATCTCGAGCATCATTTGCTCTGTGCTTCAAGTCGCTACTGATGACGCTGCTTCCGGCATCAGTTTTTGGTGTCTCTCTTCGTCTGATGCCTACCCTTTGACCTGTCCAGCAAGGGAGGCCCTGCCAGTAGCTACGCTACCGCTGGTATAGCTCTCAGGGTCCTTGGCATACTCAAACCCCCTCACCACGATAAGGTGGAGACACCAACAAGGGGGCCAAAAATATATTATAATGTAACAAAGTTTTTTAAAATAGCTAACAATTATTCACACTGGATGAAAATGCAACACAAAATAAACTGTAACATTACGGCTGAAAGCCGGAATGGTGGAGCCGGAGCAGACGTTCATTACTGAGCAACGGATCGGAAATCACGTTCCCGTTTCAAAGAATAACAGTGAACGAGTCATTGCCAGGTATCAAGTTGCTAAACACGAGATGTTTCGTAGCAACGGGGTCAAACACTTAGAAAACCAAACCGTAGTGTGGGGAATTAACACAAGATTCCGTGACAACGAATTCATGAAACTCATTAATGAAAACCTTGAACTTTGTGACTTCTATTCGGAGCGCTTGGACGCTATAAAAAGCAGTGCCTTGGTGAATTCTGGAGATGGTGATTGATCTCCCGTGTGGAGGCAGGATCGAATACCTCCACCGTGACCCTGCAAGTCGTAGGAAGCGACGAAAAGGGAAGTCTCAAATCTGAGACAATAAAATATGTGTCGCGAGTCCCAAGGGACTCGGACCCTAGAAAGACTGTGCTGGCAAGTGCCAGCAGCATATTCAAAAGACAGACCCGTCCTCTCATCAGAGAGGGCGCCCCACAAAACAAGATCGTAATTGTCAAACAGTAATAAATATCTGGTCATGTGCCTCATATGGGGCTCGACACCAAGACTTACTGACTGACTGACTGACTGGCCGTCAGTCGCAGTGCGACTTTGACTTTGGCTCTAAATTCAAGAGATTTAGATTCAGATGAGTGAGAGATACAGACAGGGGTCAGAGATTAATTCGTAAGAGAATTCAGAAGGCAGTTCAATAGTTGAAGTGTTAAGCAGATAAGATTTGTTACCAAGTAACGGTTACAAGCCGAAGTTGAAGGCTTTTTTTACGTTATAGTTACAATAATTGATTATTTGTAGTTACGACTTGTGAGTGTTTAACAAATTTATTCATCTAATCCAGAACCCGTTATTATTATTATTCAAGCCTACCAGGAATACATGACAATACCATCGTTAGTATCAACAATTAATTTGTACTATTATCTTGACCTATGACTGGTGTTCTCAAGAAGCAGAAACCTACTGTACAAAATCTGTAGTAGGAGCTACTCGGTGTCCAGTCGTGTTCATACAAATAGTAATTACTTGTCACAGGATCCCAATACTTCCAATTTTTGTCAAAATGATAATAGTTTCTTGTTTCATGTATTTATATATTTATTTATGCGGTTACAATGTTTTCTCAGCACTGTGTTTGAAAATCAGAATTTCACAAATGATGTTATATTAATACTGCAGCATTGCCAAGAACTGGACTGATTTTTCTGTGGTCGCACTTCTCACAGGCCTGGACTGGTGTGTGGCACTTGTGGCCACTTTCAAAGCACCGGTATATATTGAGTGAAATTAAGAGAAGTCTTCAAAGCCAAATTAGGCTCGCATAATTTCAGATTAAAAGAATCTTCTCCGATAACATTCTATCGTTGGGACTTGATGATCTCGAGAATTATCAGTAAGAAGAGCAGAAACTGGCTGAAACAAAATGATGAAGGCTGACATTTTGCTTCCCACCTCAGAGCCCAGACTTTAGGGCTTTAATTTGATGCTTTCTGCACGTCATCATGGTGTGTTGTTGTGACACAAATGAAATTTTTCGGCATAAATTGTGAGAGCTTTTGTATGCTACTTTAAATAACCAACTTAAAATAAAAAATAATAGAATAGAATAAAATTATGTATACTTCTGAGGTAAAAACTGTGACGTATTTGCGCTATGCAGGGCACCCCCCCCTACGGTGATATAACAGGGGGCACTGCAGTTACTACGTGGCAACAGACAACTCCGTGCAGAGACTGTTCCTTGGCAATCAGTAAACATGACATCATGCAACAGTGGTAGCTATCACGTAACTGTTTTCTGTGTTGTCAGTGCGGAAGCTACATAACGAGGAGTATTCATCACTGTAACCAGAGTTACTAGAGTAGTGAGTATTGAGTTACGAGTCGAGTTGTATCGAGTGCATGGCAGTGACTCCAGCAGGAGAAGTAAGTGTGAGTGTGTGATCGGGAGTGACATAGTGTGGATCGTGAAGTTGGCGAGAGCAGTGGAAGTAACTGTGATACTGCCGATGGCAGTAATTGCGCAATTGTGAATTGTATAAGTGGACGAGCGAATGTAGAATAAATTCACTATATTCAATAGGGCGTAAAGTTATTTGTCGCGTTACATACCCAACACGTGACAATATGATTCAATAGTGACATCCCTATTTCAAGTGTCTAGTTCATTCAATGTAATTCTGGAAATAACATTGTTCAATGTGAGCAAGGATCTGTGACGGACAATCAGACATTTGAGGCCAAAAAATTAAGATACTTTGTTATCATCATAGCTACTCTAATATTTATTCAGAATCCAAGCACACGTTTATCAAAAGGAACATAATGCATATGGTACATCAACTTTTAACACATATAAACACATCACTGCTAAAAGTAAATACATTACACCATGATAACTACATCAGGTTCACCTTTACGTCAATAAGAAAATCGTTCATTGGTATAGATCAGGGATGGTAAACCTTTTTTTTGCATGGTGTCAATGAACATTATTTACCACCAACAACAAAGAGTGCCAGCCATCCTTCTTGACCCAGTACCATCTGGCAAGCTAAACAAGATTTAGCACATTTCCTAGGGTTTTCAGTTCTTTGCATGTATGTGATTTTGTGAATAGCATAATCTGCACACATTTCATTTGTCAGATGGCAAGTTGTGCTTCCTCACAGCTATCTGTGGGTGACCATACATCTCAGTATCCAGGGTGCATACATAAAGTTAGCACCACATATATCATACAAAAAGAATTATGGCTTCATCAGCTACTTAATTATTGAAAGGCTTCACATGTTAGTACAAATATTATGTTTTTGGATGTTTTCCAATGTCCTATCTTTATCTGAAAACACCGTCCTGTTTATTTTTCAGAATATATTTTGGAGACTGGATTCTGTCTCCGTCTTCAGGTAGAACCTATTCAGTTGGGCCCAATCGAAATGGCTAGTCCCCATCTCCAGACCTGAAGATGGACATAGAATCTAGTCTCCAAAACGTTCGTGTTTGGAAATATAAACAGAAATGTGTTTTTAGATAAATATTCAATAACATATTTGTTATATAATGGACCATCTTCACAAACTTTTTGATCTTATTCACATGTTAGGTTCACCATTTACAAGAAACAACTCATATATTGTCCAATATTTGAAAGTATGGTCTAAGTCTATTATAATGAGAACACAACAGCATGAATAACCTAGAAATGTATATATCACTCTAAAATCAAAGCGTGAATGTCCCGTTATGTCATCATGGCCAGGGAAATAGTTTATCATACACATGCATCATTTCATCAAATTTGAAAGTATAGTATTTCTGAACTGTGGAATGATTTGGAATGGCCATTTCAAACTTATCTTGTGGTGTGAGCAATATTAGAGGAAGGAAAGCAGAGCATCAAAAAGTACAGTACTCAACATTTAATTATACACTACATAATTAACTTAATGCTTGAACTTCAAAATAATTCTTTTAAACTTACAAGTAAACTCATGATTTATGTCCTGGTTTGATTTGCTGCACAGAAATTACAGTCCTATAACATTCCTGCTTCAATGGGACGGTCACACGAAGTGATACATTTCATACATGAGAGCTATATGTCTGACAGGGCACATTTCAAACTGATACTGCAAATGAACATTTTTGTATTTCATACTTTCACACCATTCCCAAATACAGCACTTCAAAAATTCATCTTATATATCAGACAAAAATTTGTTATGAGCACAGAAGATAGGTGGGGAGTATGACCATATACTTGTACAATGTGTAACATTTACTTTTTGCATTGTGACAGTATTCATATACATGTGATTATAATTTGTTATTCTCATTATCTGAGAGAGGTACAGGCCTGAGCTTCAGAATGAAACTTTCTTTTTTAAATTACACTTTTGTAGCCAGATTTTCATTGTAGCTTGTAGGACAATTCTCAGTCTGCAGACTACATAAAGTAGCGAGTCTGGTGTGTCCTGTCCTGTCCCCGCCCATCGTGCATCCTGTTTCTGTAATCCTGAGTTGAATCTTTCGTTTCTAATGTCATATATGATGATGAATTATCACCCTGCCAGCGGGAGCTATTAGTGACCCGAGGGGCAGGGTCTTCATACATGTAGTTGCTTCCCTCTGGCTGATTAACATCCTCAGTACCAGGCGGTTTTGGGGTACTGCATGCCATATATTTCCTGCTGTTGGAAAGTGGAACATAACTGGTTGCAGTATTTGCCAAACTCCACTTCATTGCACAAAGTCTTGCATGACTATCTGTGTCGTGTTCCACAGCAGGAAGTAATGAAGGCTTCAAGTCCTGTAAAGGCTGGCGTTCATTCCCTGCATAGTCACTAGAAAAGATATTTTGCCTTGTGTAACTATCTAATGACTGAGCAAAGCTCTGTCTCTGCCTCTGACTGGGGCTGACATCTGAATGATAAACATTCCTCATGTAAGAGTCTCCTCCACTTTCCAAGCGTGGTGCACTGTCACTGCATCCACCAGAAGGATCCCTCAATTTCGGAGGCTGAGAACCTGCCCTATCCACACCAATGTGACCAACTGGTACTTCTCTCATACTGTAAACACTTTGTTGTGGCTTCAGGTTGTGTTGATAGCTCTCTCTCTCCACTGCACCTTCATATGCATTGTACCCATGCTGATACAGACTGTTAACTTCCGTGACAGACCGAGAGTATCCCTCTTCAAAACATCCTGACTGTGGCATCAGCTTTTCCTCATATCTCTCTGACCTCTCTAATTCACCTCCATGCACATCATACCTACGTTCAAATGGATTATCAACTTCTGTGATGTGACGAGAATACCGCTCTTCAAAACATCTCGATTCTGGTATGTCCTTGTCAGGTCTCACAAACCGAGAGATTGTGATATTTTCAGGATGCATTCCACCAAATCCTGTGCTGGTACTGACAATGCTACGTCTCGCATCTTGGTCAAGTGTTCCCACACTCCTGACAGCCTCTGCTATGAGCTGCTTTAGTTTCTGGGCTGTGTCTTCAGAAAGCTGTGGTATATTGGCTTCTCTGAGTGAGTCTGCTATCAGATCCTGCACCATGTCATTTCTGTTTTTGAGGTTCAAACTTGCTCTTCTCAACATCTCTCTTTCCCTCTGTTCCTCTATCTGTCGCTTCATTTCTTTCTCCTCAATCTGTCTCTTTAGTTCCCTCTCCTCCACCTGTCTCTTAAATTCTTTCTCATCTATTTTTCTCCTGAATTCTTTCTCCTCCATCTGTCTCCTAAATTCTCTCTCCCCCATCTGCCTCTTTAACTCTTTCTCCTCAATCTGCCTCTTTAGTTCTCTCTCTTCTACCCATCTTTGCTGTTCTTCCATCAATCTCCTCTGCTTTTCCTCTTCAATCTGTAACATACATTCTTCCTCCTGTGTCCGCCTCCTCTGCTCTTCAGCCTTCGACTCTCGGAAGTCATGTTCTTCCAGAGCATTAGACTCATCGTCAGAAGATGGTCTCTTGAAGTATCCTTCTGCCGGGTACTCACGGCCTGCAAACCTATGTCTTCCAGAAGCTCTGAATGACTTTTTCTCCTCTCTGTGCCGTAATAATTCTCTCTCTTCCCGTCTTGAGGTAATTGTCAGTCTAGCATCTCTTTCGCCCAGTCTTGTCTCTTTGGTTACCTTCTTGTATGGCATCGAAACATCAGCTGCGCTGTGACTATCTGAACCCTTCTCTGTCCAGTGGATGGCAGGGTCACTTTTTGGTGGTCGCAATGACTTTGGAATTGGAAGACCCATGCGCTCCATCAGAATCATCAGAACATAGCCTTCTGCATTAGGCACTGTGTCAACAGGAACTGCTCTTACAGGGAAGAATGGATTACCCATGCCCTTCTCACTGCTAGGATTACACAGTGCAACTATGGGGTTAAAGCGTGAATTAAACATCTCTGTCACTATCACCAGTCGTCGTACTTTCTCTATCTTTCTTATCGCTTTCATTGTGATGGTAGCTGAAACAGACAAGACTATACTAGAGTACGGAAAACAACTAAGAACTTACAAAATCTATATATGTAGGTCGTACCGAAAATCATGAGCAACTTCTTTTTGCATGCAACCTGGGAACAGCAGATAAAAGAGAGTATGGTGGTAGGTGGAACCAGCTGTTGTGTTAACCTTGAGTGTCTTGTGACGTCAATAGCTTGCATCACGTGACTAGTATCACTCCTAACAAAATGGCCGACAACCATATGTCGTTTCGCCAGCGTGCTGTCATCGAATTTCTTGTGAAAGAGGAAATCCCTGCTGCAGAAATTCACCAGAGACTTCAGCGTGCTTATGGAAGTGTGTGCATGGGTGCGAACAGTGTTCGAAGGTGGGTGAAACATTTTAAAGATGGGAACACCAGCATCGAAGATGAGCCTTGGAGCGGTCATCCTCGAACAGCCTCAACTGAACGCAACAAGGAAAGAATGGATGAGATCACTCAAGATGACAGGCATGTGACTGTGGACACAATAGCCCGAAAACTTGGAATAGGGCACAATGCAGTACAGGAGATGATTGAAAGCTTGGGCTATAGGAAAGTTTGTGCTCGTTGGGTCCCGCGGTTAATGACTGAAGACCACAGAGGTCAGCGAAAAGCCATAACCTCAGAACTGCTGCAGATATCGACACGAAGGCAATGATTTTTTGCTCCGTATTGTGACAGGTGACAAAAGCTGGTTTCATCATTTCGAGCCTGAAACGAAATGGCAGAGTATGGAATGGCACCATTTGCATTTTCCATCAAAAAAGAAGGCAAAGAGTGCCATAAGCTGCGAAGGTGATGGGCACAGTCTTCTGGGATGCAGAGGGGTTTATTCTGGCCGAATTCCTGGAACCTGGGCAAACCATCAATGCTGCTCGTCATGTTCAGACGCTGTACAAGCTCCGTCGTCCATTGCGTGATAAACGTCCAGGACGAAACATCTTCATCCTGCATGACAACGCTCACCCCCATGCCGCTCGCCTCACATTGGAAACAATTGCAAAGATGGGGTGGGAAGTTCTTCCACACCGCTCCTATAGCCCTGATCTGGCACCCTCCAACTACCATCTTTTCAGATTTGTGAAGGATTGGCTGCATGGACATTTTGAGACAAGGGAGGCAATTCAGAAAGCAGTGTGTCAGTGTCTTTGGATGGCTGGAACAGAATTTTACAGTAGGGGAATTTTCAAACTCCCAGAACGCTGGGATAAGGCGGTTATGTGGAAAAATAAAGAAAGGTCTGTAGATTGAGTTGGTGTATTTGGTTTGACAATAATAAAGCATGTTACTTTACAAAAAATTGTTGCTCGTGACTTTCAGTATGACCGTCGTATAAACATTTTCATGCAGTGCTGTACAACAAAATTAACTATTACTCAGTTGAATTTGGGGTTCTTTTAGTGGTACCTATGAAAAGTACGGCCTTATGGATTTGCGTAGTTCAGAAAAAGCCCGGCATTTCAGAGGAACATATTGCCTCCGTCTTCAGGATCGAAGAATAAGCTAAGCAAGAAACCAGAAAGAAGCAGGTGGCTCTGCATGTCACCTGCTTCTTGCTTGGCTTACTGTTCAACTCTAAAGAGTGTTTACATACAAATTCTTAAACATGACCTAGGTTGTTTAAAGAAGAAAAAACCTATCCAGTTTCTCTTACTCATCATTCTATACATTCCAGCACTCAGGCTCATATGGGGGCAGCGGGGGCATTCAGCTTGTACCCCTGGCCCAGGGAGACCCCAAGTATACTATTATTTAATTAAAAACATTATAACAAGCAAGCAAGACTCTTTTAATTCAATTTCATTGAATTCTTCTAGGCTTTTCATTGATTCTGGACCCCATTCCACACCCACTATTTCTAAGAGAGAATCTGGTAGCGACGGGAATTGAACCCAGACCTCTGGCTCTGTACCCAGGAACACTGACCACTAGACCACAGAGGCAGTCGAACATATGCTACAAATATAATAAATGTCAGAATTTCCAGGCAACCAAAAAGGAGCTGTCAAAGCATCAGCATTTTCCAAACATTAGCTGCAGCTGGCGTACTACAGAATCCTGCATACTATAACATGACAGCTTTCCCCTTCTTGTGTACTTTTCTTACAAAAGACAACACGAATTCCAAAAGACAGCAGTCACAGCCAAGTATTAACTGATTACAAACAGCAATACCAGCTTTGATAAAGCATTCTAGTTCCTGATGTATAAGCAAATCTCACATCTGGGGATGATGACAAGATGGTTCTGCATTAGCCTTGCACCTAACTTAATGCCACTATACGTGTATGTTGAAACACTGTTGTCATATGGCTACTTACTGATTTATGCAAGAGTAGCCTTCCAAAAAATAAAGTCATATTGTGTGAAATTACATAAAGTGAACATAAGGAAATATTTTACTGTGTTTCCGTACCACCGGAAAGAAAATGGCAGAAAGGGTTGTGTGGGTAGCAAAATTTTCTACTCCCCCCTCACATTCGTCCTCTGCTATCTACCACCCCTTCCTGTCTCTCTAATCACCCATCAAGCAACTGGCATTAACGGGTATGCTACTAATTCAAGTGCAAATTAGTTTATATCACATTTTTGGAACTGGCATACAATGAGACATACATTTCTAACAGACCAAAGGAAGACACAAGTGTAGGTACCCTAGAAATGATTTGAGGACAACGAGAAACAACTTCCTTCACATAATGAGATGTGACATCTCATGGTTGTGAATATTAAGATTATAGTCTTCTGGGATGTTACACCACTTAGTGTGGTACACAGTGACCAATGCTTCAAAGAAATCTGCTAACAAAGGCAGCAGGTAAACATTCGTCCACATGAATCACTCTAACGATCTCCAATACTCACAAGTAGTCCTGGGATTCGCACTGCATATCATGACAACACAGGCCTTTTTATATCCAATCTTCTTGGCAACCTCGAGGAGCACTGCTTCAATATTGCCACTAAAATAGTGGCAGTTTGTGATTTTATTACGAGTTGCATTCTTCTGTGCCTCTTCAACAGACTGTTGTGAAACCACACTCAAAACTTCTCCAGCGACCTGCAACCCACATTGTCAGTACTGATACCAAGAGATTACAATCCATACAGAAAATGCTTCAAACAAGAATAGGAAAAGTCTGAAACCAGGACAGCAGGCTAGGCTTATGGAAACCTCAGCCAGGGCAACTGCTGTCACAGCTGAGATTCAAATTCATCACCTCCAAAATATAAATCGAGGGCATTACCACTACCCTAACCCACCCGATAATATCTGTTATTTCAATTTATAGCTGCTCATGCACAACTATCCCCTGGTTTACATAAATATCACATTAACACAACTGCAGATGGAAGTATTTACATTTCATTTTATTTCATGATCAGTAAAAGACTTGAAATTATCTGTCTAAAAGGAAAGAAATTAGAATTTGAAAATGTCTAAAATTAATGGTATTAAATTTACCGGAATTATTCATTTTTCAGTAAAAAATACAGGTTCTGAAAACAACACTTTGAACTGCAACCACTCTTGAATATATAACTAACATACGAGTCAGGGAATACATTTAACTGTTTCACACTTAAATATGCTGCTCTCTATAATGGGAAGTATGAAGATAAAGTATTACAGTATCAGATGTAACAACAGGCTACATGACCACTTAGTGGAGGTCACTGAGATCTGGCTACATCCCGACAACTTCAACATGGATACAGGATTCACTGTACACTTCATAATATTATATTTCAGCATCCTGTTGCATTGAGGAGTAATTTACAGTCTTGTTTTCCATCTATACTGCAACTATATTAATGTAACAACATTAATTCACTATTCATCAAGTGCACAGTGCAGTAGACTCTCTAAAGAAATTGTGTTGCCTAAAGATGACCCTGTGAGGCTGAAACATGCAGCATTAACACTGAATGTACATATTTTAATGACATTTTAAACATTTTAATGAATTACATGTGTCTTAGTGCCTTTTAAATTTTAAATTGATATTGTTGCATTACAGATGGAAAACAAGACTATAAGTTCATTGTACACTCTGTGTGGTACCTGGCCACCAACATCCTTAAACAAAGGAAGATCATCAGATTGCAACAAAAGACCACTGACAAGCAGTATGAATTGTCATGGCTCTCTACATTAACTGTTCTCCCTGTGGCTGCTGGGACAGGACATGACATGACTTCACCCACTGCTGATGATGGACACGAAGACTAGAAATTCATACTAATTTCATACTGACATCTCTGATCACCCAAGGGGATTTCATCAAATACAGTCAACACAAAAACTTCATATCATACAGCACTGCACCCACTGCAGCAATACAGACCACCTGCTGTGGCTACAAACAACAAAAACTCTCATTTCTTTACCTACATTTTCCAAACTCCAATATTTGTATATTGTCAAAAGGGAGAGTGATTGTGGGTTATGGAAAAGATTTTTGGCTCTTATAGGATAAAAAAGCATAGCTGGCCTCTGAGATAAAAAAAAAACTAAGAACCTCTCAAATGTGATCTTATTTCTAACCTTACTCTGATTGACTTTGGAGACAGGGCCACCAAATGAAGTCATCTCTATGTCAGTGCACCATACTACCCAGGAAGCAGATCAGATAAAGTTTCATGGATTTTTACCTCAGTTCTACACATCAGTCACCAACCACATTTACGGTCTACCGTTTATAACCCAGAAATGATCCATAGTACACTGTGGACAGTTACTTTGACCCCCAACCCCCAAGTCACACAGGACACAGGGGACAATACCTGCATTTGCCATTCTTACCCTTGATAAATGCAATCCAACCAGGCCAAAACCATATCCCACTTCCACAACACAAATCCGCTTTGTAGGGACCAGCAGCTCTTCCACACCTTTGCAAACCATCTCTGCCGCACGGCTATTATTCCAGAAGTGCATTGTTGGTAACAGGTGGAACTTTAGTCCAACAACAGTTTCTTCTAGGTATGGAGACCCCATCACCAGCTTCTGCTCTGAGTTGAGACTAGTCCTACACAAATACAATGAATACTTTGCAAACTGAATCACAGAATTCAAACACCTTACAAGTGGCCACTTGTACAGCAAGCTCATCTATTCAAATGAAACATAAATCACATGCAAAAAGAATGAAATAAACTATATATATTCTCAATTGTGAATTAGTTATTTATGGCTCATTTGACAATACCATCAGTAGTTTAAAAATATTTGATATTACTCTTGAGTAAGAGCTACACAGCAATCAAATACATCTGTGAGTATGTTGTGCTGTCTGTGCTCTTACTGGTCTCTCTTCTATTCTCTGCCCTAGAGGTCTGTAACTCCAAGCTATCTTGAACCACTTCCTTCACTGTTTACATTGATATCATCTTTTCCGGCATGTAGTAATATGTTCAACTGTATTACCTATTTCAAAAAGTACCAGATGCTAAATACACTGAGCCTTCTTGTAGAGGCTGAGCTCCACAATTTCTTAACCTCTGCCACTAGATTGGGGTGATGGATAGCATCACACTCTGGCCACTTTACTGCAGGGTGAATGTAACAACTCCCCTCGTTGGTGTCTCCACCTTATCGTGGTGAGGGGGTTTGAGTATGCCAAGGACCCTGAGAGCTATACCAGTGGTAGTGTAGCTACTGGCAGGGCCTCCCTTGCTGGACAGGTCAAAGGGTAGGCATCAGACGAAGAGAGACACCAAAAACTGATGCCGGAAGCAGCGTCATCAGTAGCGACTTGAAGCACAGAGCAAATGATGCTCGAGATGGTTCAAGTTCGTATAGCAACAGGCGTGACCAGAGTGGTTTGAACGGCTGCTGTACTGCGATGTGGAAAGCAAATGGAAAAACTACCACATTATCACTTTTCCCTGATAGTCTCTTTCCAAAAACAGAGATACCATGTATGCGAGATGTTTCCTCTGGAGGCAAAACAATCCGGAGGTAAACTACTCCCCCAATCGGATCTCCGGGGGGGAATGTTTCTAGAGGAAATGTCATGCAGGCGTTACAACAAGAAAAAGTGCGAAGATCAGAAGAAACATCATGGATACAAGATTGGAACATGGAATGTCAGGACCTTGAATCAAGCAGGAAAATTGGAGAATTTGAAAACGGAAATGCAGAAGAATGAAGTGTCTGTTCTAGGTGTCAGCGAAGTGCGGTGGAAAGGACAAGGTGAAATAAGAAGCGGTGATTATACAGTGTATTATTCCGGAGGTGAACGGGCTGAAAGAGGTGTGGCAATAGTGGTGCATAAAAGTGTAGTGAGGAGTGTTGTTAAGAAGATTGTTTGTAATGACAGAATTATTGCTCTGAAGTTAAAGGCGGAACCGGTAGATATACTGATTATACAAGTGTACATGCCAACATCAGAGTATGAAGATGATGAAGTGGAAAAAGTGTATGACACAATTGAAGAAATTCTTCAGGAAGATGGAAGAGGAGACACAAACAGCATCATATTGGGAGACTGGAACAGCATTGTTGGAGATGAACCATATCAGAATATTGTTGGATCACATGGACTAGGAAGACGGAATCACAGAGGTCAAATGCTTATTGACTTTTGTGAACGAAATGGATTGATTGTTACCAACACTTGGTTCAAGAAGCCAAAGAGAAGAATTTACACATGGAAGGCACCTGGGGATTGGAAGAGGCATCAGCTGGACTACATCCTTGTGAAACATCGATTCAGAAACAGTGTGAAGGATGTGAAGACGCTTCCTGGGGCAGACATTGACTCTGACCACAACTTGCTGGTTGCCAAGTTCCGAACCAGGTTGAAGAAAATTATAGGATTTCGAAAGCGCAGACCCAGATGGGATTTGGAGAAGTTATATGCTCAAAGACAAAGCGTGCAAGAGACTCTAGAAGAGAAACTCGGTGCAATTGAAGGTGAAAGCGGAAATGCTGAAGCGCAGTGGAACGATATAAAAGAATGCATGTTAGATACTATCAGTGATTTGGTAGGTAAAGTTGAGAAGATAGCAAGAAAACCATGGGTTACACAGGAGATGATGAGTAAAATGGAGGAGCGAAGGAAATGGAAGAATGTCAACAATGAAGAAGGCAGGAGGAAATACAGGAGACTGAGGAATGAATTGAAAAGAGCCACGGACAGGGCCAAAAAGGAATATCTTGAGAAGATATGTAATGAGATTATGGAATTTCAAAGAACAGGCCGTTATGATTTGATGTACATGAAGACAAAAGAACTAGGATGGAAAGAGAATCATGGGATTCAAAATGTTGGCATCGAAGACTCCCAGGGGAATAGAATAGTAGATCAGAGGCAAGTGCTGAAAATTTGGGAAAATTATATTTCAGAACTATATGATCGACCTAATCGGCCAGAAACCTTAGAAGTTGAACCGGAAGAAGAAGTAGATACAGACGAGAAAGGACCATATATTTTACAAAGTGAGGTGGAAAAAGCTATCAAGGAAATGAGGAAGGGAAAGGCTACAGGAGATGATGATGTACCTGGAGATGTGCTCAAGTTACTGGGAGAAGGTGGTTTGAAAACACTGACAAAACTAATGAACACCATATATGAAAGTGGAGAGTGGCCCAAGGACTTTACAGAAGTTACAATGATTGCCTTAAAGAAAAAGACAAAAGCTACAAAATGCAGCGACCATCGCACAATAAGTCTTATTGCACATACAGCAAAGATAATAGCAAAGATACTTAAAAGAAGAATTGAAAGGAAAATAGAGGATGTACTTGGAGAAGATCAGTTTGGATTTAGAAGAGGAAAAGGAACCAGGGATGCAATTGGGATGATGAGAATTATAGCGGAACGAACTTTGGAGATAGATGAAGAACTGTGTGTTTGCTTCATAGACTGGCAGAAGGCATTTGACCGGGTAAACTGGACCAAATTAATGCAGATCCTGAAAGAAACAGGTATCGATTGGCATGAAAGAAGATTGATTAGCAAATTGTACATGGATCAGAAAGTTAGAGTACGACTGGACAGGGGGGAGACAGGAAGTGTGCAGATTGGAAGAGGAGTTCGACAAGGATGCTGTTTATCACCAATTCTGTTCAACTTGTACAGCGAATGCCTTACCAAGGAAGCTCTGGATGGGCTCGGTGACTTCAAAGTAGGAGGGCAAATTATTCAAACTGTGAAATATGCAGATGACCTTGTGTTAATGGCTAAGGAAGAAACTGTGCTACAGGGCATGATTGATAGACTAATTGAAATTGGAAGGTGCTATGGCATGGAAATGAATGTGGAGAAAACAAAAGTAATGAAAATTTCGAGACAACCAACCCCAGTCACAATAAAGATAGACCAAAAACAAGTGGAGAATGTGAAATGTTTTAAATATTTGGGTAGCTTGTTAACAGATGATGGAAGGTGTACTTGTGAAATTAAATCCAGGATTGCCATGGCAAAAGCTGCATTTAGCAAGAAGAAGAATCTTTTTACCAGCAAATTGGACTTAAATTTGAGGAAGAAACTAGTGAAATGCTACATTTGGAGCATAGCTCTGTATGGGGCTGAAACATGGACACTTAGGGCAGTAGATCAGAAACATCTGGAAAGTTTTGAAATGTGGTGTTGGAGAAGAATGGAGAAAATCAGTTGGACCGATTATGTGAGAAATGAAGAAGTGTTAATTAGAGTCAGTGAGCAGAGGAATATCCTACACGAAATAAGAAAATGGAAGGCTAATTGGATTGGTCATGTTTTACGCAGAAACTGCCTTCTAAAAGAAGTTATTGAAGGAAAGATAGAGGGGCGGATAGAAGTGACAAGAAGACGAGGAAGAAGATGTAAGAAGATGCTGGATGACCTTAGGGACAGAGGAGGATACTGTCATTTGAAGGAGAAAGCTCTAGATTGCATTAAGTGGAGGAATTGTTTTGGAAGAGACTGTGGACATGTCGTCTGACAGATTACTGATGATGATGATGATGATGATGAATGTAACAACAAAGAAGACACAGTCTCTCATGTCCTGTGTGACTGTGAATTTTAGCTGAATTAATATTTTGTCACTTGGTACTCAATTTCATGAAGCCAAGTGACTATAGGAGCACCTCATAAAGCAAATTATTGGGCTTCATTCAAAGTCCGCAGCTGTTAGAAAGGGGAAGCACAACATTTCACAGACCACTGAAAAGCAACGACCAGTACTGCTCATCCCTTTACCCTTAATCTTGGCATGGGAAAGAGCCACTGGGACACACTGGATAAGAGGATTGGTAGGCCCCAGGCCATCTGAAAATGGTGGCAAAGACAAAAATCTCTGCCCCTGCCAGGAATTGAACCTTTGTCCTCCAGTCATTCAGCACAAAGACTAGTCACTAATAATGACCTTAAGTCTCTTTTGTATTTCAGTATTTCTTTAGGAAAGAATCCATTAATAGCTTTGTGCCCCTTTCTTCATACCTGAATATAGGGGCATCCCATAGATCAGAGACCACTGCTGCCAGCCTTCAGAACCAATAATACTGTGCACCAGCAATGATATGTAGCTGCAGCACAGATCCAGTTTCTTGGGACACAACACACTTTCATTCAGTATGTGGAATATTTTAAAACATCACTGCAAATTTCTGATGTAGCAGATATATAGTGTGCACCATGAAATAACTACTACATCTGTTGGCTGCTAGAAAGCTGCTCCTGTTGGATACACCAACTGTTGGCTACTAAACAGCTACATGTGTTGGATATGCCATCTGTAAACTGTGTAATAGTTACATCTGTTGGATGTACCTTCTGTAGACAATGAAACAGTTACACTTGTCAGCATCTCAGTCTAGAGGTCCAGGTTCAGTCCCAGGGTCCTCTCTGTGGATGTGGTGGCCAAAGTGGCTCTGTGGCAAGTTTTTCTCTGATCATTTTTGTTTTCACCTGCCAATTATCATTCTACCAATGCTCCACATTCATCTATCACTGGGGCCTGGTACAATCAGCCCACCTAAGGCCACAATAAAATGGCCTCTCCCTCAACTTGGGAAGCGGGTAGGGATCAGAACCCACAG